TTAGCATAACCCATATACATATGTTCGGGAATTTTGCAATTTAATCACTCATGGTGACATTAAATTGTTACCATAATTATGTTAATAATGCCATTCTGCCCTGCAATTCACCATTATGAATTCACCAATATAATACATCACTATAGGTTTTAAACTTGCCAATTAATGATGTTACAGTGTAGCAATATATTATTACATTATAGGGTACATTATGCGCAAGTACGCGCGTATAGATCGGTTCCCGTGTCCCGTAGGACCAACGACCCGTAGGACCAACGACCCGTAGGACTAATAACCGTAGGACCAACGACCCGTAGGACCAACGATTTTAAAAAATAAATTTAAATAAAAAATAAAAAATAAAAAAATAAAAAATGTTATTTAAAAAAAATTTGGGCATTCACTCTAACCCTCTTACTTTATTTTTTATTTTATTATGTATGTGGCTTTTCACTATGATTGAAGTATGCACCAGACAGGAGTGGAGGAAGAGGAAGAAAATAATTCTTAAACTATTTCAGTGTCATTCACCCTCGAGACCACCTTATCACAAAATTTCATTCATCCACGACAAAATTTCCTTATGTTTTTGGTCTAGTTTCATTCACCCTTGGGTGAACCATACACCAGTTTAAGCTACACGGGCAGTCCAGCTGCTGTGTAAATACACTGTGTATATTTTTGACCAGTATAATTATTTTTATTGTTAGTATTCATTTATTATAAGTTTAATGTGCATCAGCGTATTATTTGGACCAACGTGTCCTACGGTGCACGATACTACGGGTCGTTGGTCGTGGGTAATTTAAAATTAAAAAAAGCATTAAAAATTAAATTTTAAAAAAATTAATCAAAAATTAAATTAAATTTTTTTAAATTAAAATTGAATTAAAAACAAAATTAAATTAAAAAATTAAATTATGAAAAAAAAAATTAAATTTAAATTAAAAATTAAATTAACAAACAATTAAAGAAAAAAATTACGTGTGCCTGCGTGCACCGTAGGACCAACGACCCGTAGGACCAACGACCCGTAGGACCAACCACCCGTAGGACCAGCGACCCGTAGAACCAACGACCCGTAGGACTAAAGAACTGTAATCGAAATTTCGCGTCCGGGTCAGGTACGCGTCAAATTTTTGCAGTGTGTACACACTATTCCGCTCCAAATACGCGCTGGCCCGCAATTGGACCCCTGCAAATAGAGCGCCAAGCCTGGGATAACTTGTCCCAGACCAAGTTATCCTGCTCCAAGCTAGGTAACATAATAGTACTGTAACTGTCTGTGGTATGACACAGCGAGCTGAACTGAGGATGCAGTCAACCGTGACTCATTTGACATGGTACCAAATTTTGTGTCTGTACGCCACGATTTGGTGCGCGTTTGGCGCGTAACAGGGCCCGTACCAGTTTGATGTGCCAGCGGGATCAAATTTTGCTGTCTGTACGGGGTATATGAAAGACAAGCAAACAACAAATTATCACATGGCGAATAACATTTGCGAACATGCACCTGTAATTTACCTGGACTATATATTGCGGTGCCAACAGGCCAGAATAATATGGGTATCATTTGGATGTTTAGTGGTAGAGGAAGTTTAGGGAGTAGGTATATTGGCAAGTTTTGGCAAGTAAATACGGCAGTTTGGGAAGCATGGTTAATACATAAACAAACTCACTGATGTATTAGACATGGACTCACATAATATGATTTCAATGGGTTGTTTATTGAGTAACATATTACACAGAATTACCTTAGTTACCGCAGTGAAAGGAATAATTGAAGCTCCATTTCACATTTCACATTGTAACACACAACTCTTCAACATGAAACTTAGCTAAAGCCAACAATGAAACAAAATGTATACAACAAATTAACTGGTCTCAAGATGCAATTTAACGACTCGCGAAATAACTTTATTTGTTAAAAACCTGTTGCATACCAGACAGTGTAATTGTGTTCCTAGAAGTTTAAGCACAATTTCCATATAAACTGATTATTTGAACTTTGGATTGCAATGTACACTTTAAGTAAACATTAAACACTTCTTGCATATATTCCTAGCCAATGTAAATGCGTTAACAGTTAATAACAACATCATGTTTGTGAGAAAATCTACTCAAAATCCATTTGTAATTATCCTATTCAGTTTCGTTTTGATACTGAAATACTGAGATAAAAAGCACATAAGAACATCAATAATACATATATATGCAACGTGCACATTGTATAACATCAAGAGCTAATAATACCTCTTAGTATTATTAGTAGTATTATAGTAGTATTATTAGTAGTATTAATACCTCTTGGTATTATTAGCTCTTAACATCTATCTATAGCTGATAACATCTAATACTGTTGAATATTTTTACTGCGACTTTCATTCATGCACCACGCACACAAGCATGCACAAAAATGTACAGACACTGACACACACTAACTTAGTCCGTAATCAACATCACAACGATGTTTTCATACGACGAGGGTTAAGAGTTTTACTTAGCTTAGAGTGCAGGATTGAAACTAAGTGCACAAATTAAGTTCAAGCAAGTTCCTTGAGGCCATGGATGGCCAATGTTACTCCTGTGTTACAGCATGTATCTGGCACGCAAGAAAAATGGATGGCACAGGAACAAGAAGTGTAGTAAAATTTAACAGGAAGACTGGAGCGAATGTAAGAATCTCAAACGGCATAAAGAGTATTATCATCAAACGTATTCAGGAATGATGGCCATTATAGTGCCCATCACTGTTGCATCTGTATTTGCGCACATACGTGTAGACTGTTACACCCCTAAAGAAACATTTCCAGCTCTAACTTTGATTGCAGCTTGCTCTAAAAATGAACAGTCCTGCACCACTTGCTGGTGCCGTGCCTTATTCCATAGACGTAGAATAGACGACATCTCCATGAGCTAGTTGCTCTAGAGTACGCTGCAGCTCCTCCTCTGTCTCGATGCCTGAGATCAGCGCATATACCTCGCTGCCTTCCTCACTCGGAATCTGCACTGATATGACGGTGCTGCCCTCTTCGCCGATCAGCAGCTGTGGGTCACGTGCCGACACGCACGCGTCGCTCGGCTCGCTCGCTCGCAGTGTCAACTCGTTCTGCTCGCTCTCGTCCTCATTCACCAGTACATCCGCCGACGCAATGCGTGCGTAGCAGTCCGCCTCTAGAGTCGACCCCGCGTCCACGGCCATACGAGTCGCAACTTGTTGTTCTTCGACGCGTGCGTAGCAGTCCGCCTCTAGAGTCGACCCCGCGTCCACGGCCATACGAGTCGCAACTTGTTGCTCTTCGACGCGTGCGTAGCAGTCCGCCTCTAGAGTCGACCCCGCGTCCACGGCCATCCGAGTCACAACTTCTTGTTCTTCGACGCGTGCGTAGCAGTCCGCCTCTAGAGTCGACCCCGCGTCAGCGGCCATCCGAGTCGCAACTTCTTGTTCTTCTCGTTCCGGCGTCGCATTGGACACCGCGGCCGCCGACAGTATTATGAGGGTGTCCGCCGCTCCCAGGTCGCTCTGCTGCGCTGCGTTCGCCGAACACAGCGCGTCCGTGAGCGCAGCAAAGTCCTGTGGCTGCTGCAGAGCGTCGACGGCGACTCTCGCTTCGCCGAGGCCCGGCGCCGGCGTCGCGACGTCCGCGCTCGCCGCCGCCGCGCCCGCCATCAGCTGCCGCATCTGCGAAAGGTGCGAGTCCTGCACGTGCGCCTTGAGGCAGGCGAGCTCGCGGAACTCCTCCCCGCAGAAGCCGCAGCGGTGCATCACGGGCGCGCCGCGGCTCTCGTGGGCGACGGCGGCGACGGCCTCCTGCTTCCACGCGTCGCGCTGGTCGGCGTGCTTGCGGCGGTAGTGCAGCCGCAGCGCCGGCTGCGTCGCGATCATCTTCGCGCAGAACTGGCAGACGAAGAACGCGCTGGCGTGCTTCGCGTCGAGGTGCGCCCGCAGCTCGCCGGCGCGCAGGTATGCCTTGCCGCATGCGCCGCACTCGTACGGCAGCTCGCGGCGGCGGTGGCAGCGCAGCACGTGCAGCGCGAGCGCGCGCCGCGACGCAAACGTCTGGCCGCACTGCGCGCACGGCGTTCTCGCGCGCGCCGGCTCGTGCTGCGCCGCCTGGTGGACGGCGAGCTGCGACTGCGTCGCGTACGAGCGCTCGCAGCGCACGCACGGGAACGCACGGCGGCGCTCGTGCGCCGTGCGCACGTGGTAGCGCAGCGACGTGCGCTGCTTGAACGTGGCTCCGCAGACGCTGCACAGGAAGTTCTTCGCGTCGGCATGCGTCACGTGCACGTGCGTGTCGAACGCCGACTTGCTGCGGAAGCAGCGGCCGCACTTGTCGCACGTGAAGCGCGCGTCGCCGTGCACCTCGCGCATGTGACGCCCGATGTTGCCCTTCGTCGTCTGCAGCGCGCCGCACACGTTGCACTCGAAGAACTCTCGCCGCTTCTCGCCCGCGCCCCGCCGCTCGCCGCCCGGCAGCTTCTGCGCGAGGCACGCATGCCGGCCGGCGAAGTGGCGATCCCAGAACGTCCCGCCGCAGCGCTTGCAGCGATACTTGCGGCCGGCTTCGCTGGGATTTCGCTCGTGATGCTGCAAGTGACGCGCGCACAGCGCCGGCACGCGGAACTGCACGTCGCAGCGCTCGCAACGAAACGTCCGCGGCGGGTGGCACGCGTGTAGGTCGAGGCCGACCGACGACGCGAAGCGCATGCCGCAGTCATCGCACGCGAACGGATGCTCGTGCTCGAACATGTGCAGCCGCAGCGCCATCGCGTCGTCAAAGCCGCTCGCGCAGCGGAAGCACGTGACGACGCGCTGCCGCCGCAGCTCCAGCCGCTTCGCGCAGTAGTTGAAGTGCTCCGTCATGCGCTCGGCCGATGCCAGGGGGCGCCGGCACGCAAAGCACTTGTTTCGGCGCCGGCAGCAGGCGAGCTCGTGCTTGGCGAGGATCAGCCGGTTGCGTTGCACGCAGCCGCACGCGTCGCAGTGCGCGACGCGGCCGTCGCCCGCGCACGCGTGCTCGCAGAATCCGCGGGCGTCCGCGTAACTCACGTGGCAGTCGTCGCAGTAGAACGGCTTCCGATGGTGCTCCTCGTGCAGCGCGAGGTGGCCGCGCTCGCCGAAGCTGCGGCCGCATCCATCCACGCTGCAGCCGTACTCGCCCTCGCCGACGCCGCAGACATGGCGCCGCAGCCAGGCCGCGTCCACGAACACTCGCTCGCAGCGGTCGCACGCGAGCACGTCGCGGTGGCTGTCGCTGGTGTGCGCCTTCAGGGCTCCGACGTCATAGAATTTCTTCTCGCACACTTGACAGGTTAAATCGACGGCCAACAGTTGCGAAGGTGATTGCGAGGCATAGCCGTTATCTCCCGCGTTACCCGTGTCCTCTGCATCGGTTAGATCGAGAAGGTCAGCGTAGTAGTCTCTATCATATGGTACAGCATCTGGCAACTCATCGTAGCTACGAGTAGTACTGTCATCGACTGGGCTGGTTGACACATCTTTTTGCTGCTCTGCTTGCTTGCGTCTACGCTGCTTGGCTGCCATGTTTGCTCGCCGTTTCTTTAGATAAGTTTCTGAAGCGGAAGTCTGTCCAACAGAACAACTAGCTGCCTGTTGCTGCTGAAGCCTGCAATCTACAAGCACATGAAAGAGGTATGAATGAATAAAGTGATGTAAGATAATAGTCGTTCACCTTGGTATGTGGATTTTAGACATCTTGAGCTAAAATTTAATTAATTCTTCTATCCTACTCCTAGTAAGTACAAGCATATCCTGCAGGAGCCACGGTTTACCTATAACATCTTTAAAAGTTAGAAAAATTAAAATATCATTTCTCGAAGGTCACAACTAGTTACTCTAGAAAGCACAGCAGTACCGCCATATTGCCTCTGTCCATAAGGAACATGGTTTGGCTTCTTATCCCTGTTTCCCCCTATTCGTTCATGAATTCCAAATACTCACGAATGCTTAACCCAAGTTGCACATAGAGTGAAGTACAGACAGTAACGTAGGGTCAATGTGGTTTGAAAAAAAACCTGAACAACTAGCCATCGTTTGCATTAGACAGTGCAGGAATGTAACTTAGGTGCTTTTCAATTTAGGTCATTAGAAATTTCTTGGCAGCATGTATTTGCTGCTGACATTGAGGGCAGGCCGAAAACCTACCCTTGTAGGCAACAGAACTCCTGCTTGCTGCCCTTAATTTCTAACTCTGATATATACTTAGAATAGTAGAGCATCAAACAAAGTATTTTCAAATGTATACTGCTGTTGCACGGGTGGATGCAGCTGTCTCATGTCTGATGTTAAGAGGAATATAACCAAAGGTTTGCTGTTGACCTTTGACCTGCAGATGTCATGCTGATGTCTTTATACTAATGAACATGACAGTCACCAAGATTTCAGTGCCACACCTGCCCAAGTCAGCTGAACTGCCACATGTGCTCTAAACTATACTAATTTCATATTGAGAATATTTTAATTTCATGTTAAATCCAAGTAACCTTTTAGCAACAGTTTTATCAACAAACCAAGCTGTCTTTGTCAGAGCTCATTTGTTTTGGGCTTGTGACTAGGTGACACTAGGTGGGAAAAGCCAGAAATGAACATCACAAAGATAGCTGGACTGGTTGTGATACTATGGTTGAAATATATTTTGATGTATCACAACACAAAATTTATCACAAATTTATCAAACAAGAGCCGCAGAGTGACTGGGCTCATCTGAGGTGTGTTGCTACGGTTATAAAGTTATAAACGTAACATTTCAGTCGTGCATAGTGATTAGTGACACATTTGTTAGGCGCAGATATGCAGATACGCAGTTGCGTACACATCATTTCAGCAACCTTCTGCATTCTGCATACCTCCCAAATCCCATTGGTTGATACAAATCGCGTGCCTGAGACTCCTGTTTTATGGTGCATTGTAACCCTAACCCTAACCCTATTAAAAAAAAAATTAATTATAAACATTATTTGTTGTTATTAAATTGTTGTAAATAAATCATGTAAATATTTGCGTTAATTGGGAAAAAATAGTTAAATGGATAAAGATAGAAAAATACAGAAAACAGGTATATAATAAAAAATCTGATGGGATTCGATCCAAGGACCTTTGAGCCATAATCCTGTGCTGTACCCGTTGGGCTATCCAGACATATTCGGTTTCTAGATTATGGATGTGCCATAAATATGAGAACACTGTGACATCATTAAGGCAGTTCAGGAATCCGTTTAACCCTCCTCTTGAGGGTCAAAAGGTTATCAGACACTTACTCTTCGCACGTCAGTAGAAAGCACATTTCATGGTTCCTTCAATAAAGTGATAAAAATGGTAGGTCAGCGCTGAAACAAAAAAGTGTTTCACTCTGTCCGTTAGGCCATGTCCTCAGAAAAGGTCTGATATCTGACCTTTCCCCCACTGCCCTTTGACCTCCAATTTCGCACTGGTGATGGGTTTCCTGCCCATCACACTATACATTGAATATTAAGAGCATAGGTCGAGCCGTTAGATTTGCTGCTGCAATTCTGCATTTCCTCCTATACCTTTAAAGGCTCACAATGCGCATCCAAACGCTAATTTCTCCAGCACTGAGACTAGCAAATACTTCGTGTCATGCATAATCATACTACCTTATGGCAAAATAAACTTATAACGTCTTATAAAACGTATTTTGAAAATCCTCCAATGTTGTTGAAATTCTCCGTGTGTTGACAGTTTCCCAATCCCCAAGCAAACCGTGCAGCGGCTGCGCGTACAGCGGTATGGGCGCAGCAAAAGATAAAACATGTGACGTCACGTCACCACTTCGAGGCTATTTTGTTTGGCAAACAGTCGGCGTTTGCGCCAGAATGCCAGTTTTCTCACCTCTTTCTGCTGGGTTTAAGCAAACGCGCAGTGAAATGGAGCATCTAGAGTTTATTTTGTATAAAGGTTAGTGTGATTATGCATGACACGAAGTATTTGCTAGTCTAGTACTGGAGAAATTAGCGTTTGGATGCGCATTGTGAGCCTTTAAGTTAAGGAGGAAATGTTCTCCCTTCTTTTAGACCTCTTGACCTTTGACCCTCAGCTTCGACATCTCAACTCGTTTTCGGATTACCCCCCTACGTCCCGACTTTCAAATCCGTACGTCAAGCTGTTTAGATTTGTGCCCAACTGTTGACGGACGCACGCACGGACAATCATGCGATTCTATAAGCTGCATCTGACTATGTCAGATGAGCTAAAAATCCCAACGACCTTATTCCACTCGAGTTGTATCAACATAATGTAAATTTAAGTTTATTATATGGTAATTAATATAGTAACTAACATTTCACCACTAAACCTACTGCATCGCAAATTTTATAGTAGATACCTGCCTGAATCTCTGGCAGAGAATCTCCGTCTTCGAATCTCCTGCTTCCATCAATTGGGTTCATTGTTGTGAGTCCGTCTCCATGGTTCCCTAACTTCAATACCTGTTCCCCATCATCATGAGTATTTGCCTCTTTTTGGTCACCTATAGTCCCACACTCATCTGCCTCAGCACTAGGCCAGTGCGGTTCCGCTTTAGCTTCCATTTCAGCTGCAAGCTGGCATTGTCGAGCTGCGAGCTTTTGACTTTTGCCTTCGATGGCAGCACTCGGATGTTCGAGATTTACGTGAAGCGTGAGCTCCTCTTTGGTATGGAATGTGTTAGTACAGCTAGCGCAGCTCCACTCTACCAACACGTGAGATGTAGACGAGGACGACACAACCTGTTCTTGCCTTGCATCCACAGGCTGTGCTGAGATCGATCGTTGACTAGACGAGTCTTGGAATTGTGTGACGACGTCTGCTGCAACTACTGACGTCTGTGTGCGACTACCCTCTATAGTATTTTTCTCATCATCCTCAAATTGTTTTGAGGGCTTAATCTTTTTGACGACACCATTTTTTTGCACATTCTTCTGCTTCAGCAATCGCATGCCGTGTGTGGCAAACAGGTGATCTTCCAAGTCGGAATTAGTGTGGAATTTCTGAAAACAACTTTGACACTTCCACATCACCGAGTTGGCACTGGATCGTCTCTTGGCTGGCGCACCGTGCATTTGCTCATTCGTGGATGAATGTTCTAATGGGTTGTACTTCCGAACTACCAGCTTCATCGACCTGTGTGGTGATCCAATATTCGCATTTCGGTCATTGATAGGAAGCTCATGTTCTTTACTGTGCGCAGAAAGGATCGATTTTGTTGCAAATTCAAGCCCGCAAATGGCACAGCTAATCGTTCGAGCAATACTGCCTCTCACATTCTTTAACTGGTTTATTGCTTTGGGCTTTCTACCCCGCTTCTTTTTTAATGTACCAGGCGGTCGACCGCGAGGTGCATTCGAACGCACAGTCGCTTTCTTCTGGTCATTGATATCACAACTGTTTGTATGTGCCTGCCGGGGAGATTCTCTGTCTGTGTTGTCCACAGACAAGCCATCTGTCTCCACACAGTGTATCCGATCCAAGTGCTGCCGGGAGGGGAAAAGAATATTGCACTTTGTACAGAATGCTCCGTAGTTATCCTTGCCTGTCCCATAGAGCCGAGGCGCAGCTACCCTCGGATGCAGCTGTCCGTTATGCTGCATCACTTCAAGTTTTGTGACGAACGTAACCTGACAGTGACCACAGGACTGACTATACTTCTTTGGACTAGATGGCACGCTGTGACACTGGCCTACGTCTGGCGCAGCTTGACTGTCTTCCAGACAAGATGGAGTGCTGTGAGACATCTCTATAGTGGCAGTGGCGGTGGAGTGGCATGGAACATCAGCTGTAATAGGCGTGACTCCCTCGACATCTACACTGCTGGTGGAGGTTACAGTTTGGTTCAGCGGTGGAGATGATATCGCTCTCTGAGTTCCACCTATTTAGACATTAAAACAAATGTGACATTCAGGCTGAATTATCATAAAATTAATGACACTTATGTTATAAGCCACGCCCCTCAAATATTATGTGATCAGTGATTGGGCTGTGAATATTTTTACTTTAGGGGCATAGGTACCTAATGCCTTTTGGGCAAGTTTTCATGGTTATATTACAAAATGAACTGTTCTAGATAATCTTTTTACAATTGCTAGAAATTAATTAAAACTAATTCTTAGACAAATTTTATATTTTCACATGCTGGACAGAACTTGCACCTAGTTGTTTTCAGTGTAAATGAAGCAGCAGCAACTATTACATTTTGGAAAAACAATAGGACACAACATACCAGGGCTGGTCACCTTGCCAAGCTTTCTAGCATAGTGTGGTGCGTACCACACACGCAGCTCTTCTCCTGGCTCTACTGTTCGATTCGTACTAAAGTATATATGATTTTGAAGCTCAAAGGCAAAAAGATTTTGCTGTTCACAAGTAAATGCTGGACGAACCAGACACATCCAGTTACACATGTCCTCATCATCAGTTACTAGCTTGAAAGCTTGAGGAATTTCTTGATGGAAAACCTAATAAATAAATACAATTAATTTAGTTACTAGTTACCAAAATGTACTATGGAATTTCTTAATAAAAAACCTGATGAATAAATATAATTAATTTAGTTAATAGTTACCAAAATGTACTATAATACTATGAAATAAATGCCTGTGTAACGAATACCGAAAATCATTCTATTACTTTGAAAAAGTATACCTTTAATATGAATCCTTTATCCTCATAACATTCAGTGGCAGGAATTATAGGTGCCTCGAAAGGTCCAAACTGTGTCTTTGCATGCAGCAGCTGCTTAGCAATCACACTGGTGGCATCACGTTCGACTTCTAGGTACAGACTACCAGGGAGTGTCTGTCGGGCGCGTGACACAACCACCGAGTCTTGTACTTTTACAGCTGAAGTTACCTGTTCGCACGCATCTGTCTCATGCTCTTCGCCACAGATACTGCATTCTGGAAGTGCAGAACATTTTAAAATTAGTACTACAATGCAATTCATGTTACTATACAGGGTTCTACTCAGAAAGCTCTGCAGCAAGTTGTTTACGCAGTGTTTTCCCTGCATTGACATGAGCAAGGCGGGCCGCCTCGCTCAAATTCTCAGCCGCCACACAGAAATTTGTCGAAAACACCGCCTCGCTGACGAAAATCACTGTTCTACCATAGAACAGTGCTTATAATGCACCAAAATAGCTTAGAATGCACCAAATTGCACCATTTTTCCAACAAATTGCCTACATACCTGTGGTGCTCGCTTTGCTAAGACCTCGAAATGCGCAAACACACCAAATATTTGTTTACCACCTCACAGTCACAGACCTTTTTGGCCAGGGGAAACTGGTTTACGGATGGATGGGGTAGGAATTTCGAGAGGGCTGTATCAGTTGGAGTCAATTACACATGTCATAAACCGACCCAACCCACAGGTAAACTCGATCAGTTCAGAGTTGTATACCAAGTTGTGAAAACACAGCATGACTATCCTAGGATTACCGAAAGTAAACGCAGCTGGAAAATAAAGCATATCGAAATAAAGCATATATATATATATATATTTGATTAGGCAATAAGGAATGTCAGACGATTAAGCTGGGATTAGGTGATGGTGATGATGATGACTTACATAAGCGTGGTCTCAAAGAAGAATAGTGATGTCCTGATGATTGATTCTAATTGAATTTTGGTCATATGCAGCAACCGTTTTGATAATTTTAATTATGAAAAGTGCCGCAGAGCGACAGTGCTCACCTGACAGCAGGTGTTCTGATGCTAAACTCAGGGGCAAACGAATCAAGAGCACCCTCCCATCGCCGCGTTCGCTCTCCCTCGTTGTCTCTCATTCTTTCTCTTTCGCTCTCTCGCTCTTGCTCTCTCTTCCCTTCGCGCTCTCTCTCTACCTCTCTCTCTCGCTCGATCACACTCTCGCTCTCTCTCTCGCTCAATCACACACACACTCTCTCTCTCTCTCTCTCTCTCTCTCTCTCTCTCTCTTTCTTCTCACTCTTTCTGCGTGCTCTCTCTCTTTCTCTCTCACTCTTGTTCGCGTGCTCTCTCTCTTTCTCTCCTCTCCTCTCCTCTCGTCTCGTCTCTCTCTATCCCCTCTTTCTTCCCTCTCTCTCTTCTCTCATCTCTCTCTCTCTCTCTCTCTCTCTCTCTCTTCTCTCTCTCTCTCTCTCTCTCTTCTCTCTCCTTCCTCCGTCTTCTCTCTCTCTCTCTCTCTCTCTCTCTCTGCTCTCTCTCTCTCTCCTCTCTCTCTCTCTCTCTCTCTCTATCTCTCTCTCCTCTCTCTTCCTCTCTCTCTCTATCTCTCTCTCTCTCTCTCTCTCTCTCTCTCTCTCTCTCTCTCTCTCTCTCTCTCTCTCTCGTCTCTCTCTCTACTCTCTCATCTCTCTCTTCTCTCTCTCTCTCTCCTCTCTCCTTCTCTCTCTCTCCTCTCTCTCTCTCCTCTCTCTCTCTCTCTTCTTCTACTTCTCTCCTCTTCGCCGGCGCTCTCTCCTTCTCTCTCTCTCTTCCTCTCTCCCTTCTTACTTCTCTCGTTCTCTCCTCTCTTCTCTTCTCTCTCTCTCTCTCTCACTCTCTTCTCTCTCTCCTCTCTCTCTTCTCTTCTCTCTCCTCTCCATCTCTCTCTCTCTCCTCTCCTTCTCTCTCTCCTCTCTTCTCTCCTCTCTCTTCTCACTATCTCTCTCTCTCTCTCTTTCCTCTCTCTCCTCTCTCTCTCTCTCTCTCTCTCCTTCTCTTCTTCTCTTCTCTTCCTCTCTCGCATCGCTCTCTCTCTATCACTCTCTTCCCCTCGCTCTCTCGTCTCCCTCTCTCTCAATATTCTCCTCTTCTCGAAGGCGGCCGTAGGGCGATGCCGGACGAGGACCTGTACGACGGAGATTGTCTTATACCAGACGTCTGAATTGTCTATGCAGACTGATTGTCTTTTGGATGCGTCTTATCTAACCCCTAGCAACGGCCGACCGTTTTCGTGGACGCTAGCACAGGCGGTAACGTTTTTTTTATATTAACTTCACACTAAATGTTTATACTATATGTTTAATTTCGGCGGTTTTGGCACTCCCGCAGCCCATTGTTTATACTATCGTTAACTTGGGTTTCCCTAGCAGCGGCCAGCGGAATGTTAAGAAAATTTATGAAAAAAATTTTGCTCTGAATAAAGGCCTTGCTCTGCTCCCGCAGACAACTACCTGGACAGATCTAACTTTGTCCTCCGGTGTGCGAAATGGCACAGAGTTCTACGAACAAAAACGGAGTAGCCCTTATTACAAACACTGGGTATGTCATTCAGGCAAGCCTTCTCGAAGAAATGTCTCAGTTAATTGGTGATCGTTAAAATGAAAGGTTGGCCACGATGATTGCTGCGCGTACCGTTTTGGTAAGCTGGAAGCTTCCATCGTACGTAGTTATTCAGGTTAACAACTATTTTTGCCAAGACAGAATAGGTAAGCGACTCGTCCATTTTACCTACCACAAGCCTAACAGCGCTAAAAATATGGGAAGAAGCTGCCACTGTTATCCTAATTAAACGCAGGCAAAAACGTACACCATTACCAATCACCCACCTACATGCACTGGGCCAGTTGGCACTGGCAGCAACAGGCACTTTTTGGACCGTTTCAAATAATAAAATGAATTCGCGTTGATAAAATACAATTTGTCAGTCACTACTACCAGTACCAGCAATAAATTATTCTTAATTGTTTGATACTGACCTAATAACTTCAACTTCAAACACCGTCCAATACACCGCTGCAAACCACATAGCCGCACGCCACTTGTGCATGCACAAAATACACAGGTTAAGGTTAGAAGAAGCGTAAGAAATGCGGTTTGCACAGAAAATTCCAGAACGCTCCACTATTTGTCGCAGCACTAGACAAGACAAATAACACTGTCCAAAACGCCAATGATATTAGGCATCTCGTGATTGTTAAGCTGAGATGATTCACTTGTTCGACAATATACGTCTTGCAACTTGGTCACCACATTTACTTTACCCAGAATTATATTGAAAAATCCACTGCTCGACATTTGCCGCAAATTTCCCATGAAGCCGTATTCGTAAACGGCGACAAGTACATTGGAGCAAATGGCGGCGCATTGCATTCTGGCGAGCAAGAATTGCTAGTTAGAATTGTCCTATGAATGGGCAATTGCGCCGCCCATTGCTTTCACCCTCCCCTTGCTACTCTGTTCCCCTGTTTACGTATCGGCTTCGATGGGATATTTGCGGCAAATTTCGAGCAGGGATTTCTCATTATATTCTGGGTGTAAAAAAGTATGTTCTGGTACCAAGGTTGCAAGAACGTATATTTTCGAACAAGTGATCATTCAGCTACCACACATGATTGCCATATCATTGGCGTTTGCGACGTTTATTTCTTTGTCCTAGTGCTGCGACAAAAAGTGCGGCAGCTCCTGGAATTTTCTTGTGCAAACGCTTTCTTACCTTCTCTAACGCTACTGTGTATTTGGCTCTGCATGCACAAGTGCTCCTCTCATGCGCGTGCGGGCTATGTGTTGACAGGCGGGTGTAATTGGACTGTGTTGTAAGTGAAGTTATTTAGGTCAAATCAAACCATTAAGAACTAATTGCTGGTACTGTAGTAGCTGCTTGACAAGTTGTGATTTATCTAACCATTCTTTTAATTATTGAAACGGTCAAGGCTTGCCTGTGGACTTGGCAGTGCATACTTTTAAGTTACAGTAAAACACATTGACAGTACAGAATTGCCATGAGAAATTATACGAATTTTAAGGAGCATAAACCTTCTTCAAGCACAATTTTAGCTTTTGACAATTTCACTGTGACATTTGTTAGCCTCATTACACTCCAGGCATTGTAATAAGATTCTACTAGCCAAAAACCCAGCATGTCGAAATCTCTTTTCTAACACCAAGTCAAACAGGTAAACCAAAAGTCCATGTTTAAATCCCTCCTCTTGAGGGTCAAAAGGTTATCAAACAAAAAAGTTTTCCAATCGCTCCGTCACACCATGTCCTCAGAAAATGTATAAAATCTGCCCTGTGCCCCATTGACCTTTGACCTGTGACCTCCAATTTCGGCACAGTGATGGCTTTTCCTACCATGATGCTATACACCGACTATCACGAGCCTAGGTCGAGCCGTTTAGATTTGTGCCGCAATTCTGCATTTCCTCCCTATACCTTAAGTTAAGGAGAGAATGTTCCCTTCTTTTACACCTCTTGACCTTTGACCTTTGCCCCCAGCTTCGACATCCCAACTCGTTTTCGGATTACCCCCCCACGTCCCGACTTTCGAATCCGTACGTCGAGCCGTTTAGATTTGTGCCCAACTGTTGACGGACGCATGGACGGACGCTCGGACGGACAGACGGACGGACGCACGGTCATGCGATTCTACAAGCTGCATCTGACTATGTCAGATGAGCTAAAAACAAATAATCGATCATCGAAGTCAGCTGTTGGGAGTAAAAACAACAAGTGCTGCGAACGGTCATAATGGTAATGGCCTGCTCCCCTCTCCTCCTCCACTATTCCTGCCCTCTTCAAGATAATGGAGCCATTTTGACAAAATCATAGCATGAAATTCGTGAAAAATATGAATATATATATATATTGATTTTTAACAAGCCCTGTATAGTCACATATCTTATTATTCTGAAACTAGCTTGCAGAAGGTATATTCATACATTTGAAATAATCATTCATACGAATACACTTATCCATCTACCTATATACTATCAGGAGCGTATAATGACAAAGGAGTAAGACAGCGATTTGGTACTGATTTCACTACATTTTTGTCGTACGAGTTCGATGTGAATAAAAATACAAATGTATACAAACATGAGCTTCTTTTGTTCACTGGTCCTTATTCTATCTTCCGGTAGTATTACAAACCGCGTAGCTTCCTTCGTTTTGACATAATTCGTACTTTTCGACGACATGGTTTTCACCTTAGTTAC